TGGGCTTTGCAGATGGTAACATGCTGGACCTGAAGGTCTTGACCAACTCTGTCACCTCTACTCCCTTCTCTTCCCTTCATGCTATGTTTCCTGTAGGCAAGGTGTTGTGATATGTAGGGACAGGTGGGCTTTGAGATGAGTGAGGTGATGCATTCCAGTGCTTCCAGGAAGGCTAGCTGAGAACACTGATCTTCTGCAGCCTTCCTACACCAGTCTATTACTCATCCATTACCCTTCAGCACTGTGTCACTCTCCCCTGCCATTAAATGCTTTCCCAGGTTTTCCTGGTGCTTGTCAGTCCTTCATCTGTAGAGTTTTGCAGGCAGTCTTTACTCCATCATAACCTGAGCTACTGGCAGCAGCCCTGCCCTGTAGCACAGGAGAGGTCCAGCTCTTGAAGAGGACCTGTCCCTGAGTGCAATACTCTACCTCAACAGTGTTGACAGCGTGGCCATCCTCTGCTTCAGACACAAGAGGCCAGAGTTGAGTTGCAATCTCTTAATTCCTAGGCTGGCAGAAACATGGCATTTGGACAACTCTGGCTTTCCTGCATGCACTCCACCCTCTCCATCCTGTACTCCATAAGGTCTTCCTGCATGCAGCCCTGATGGTCTTTCCCATGTTTTTTCACAGAGGGGAGTGTGTCGTGATGCATGCACATTTCTGCACACATCACAGAATCTCTGGACCTCTGTGGGGACTTGCAATTCCAGCATCCAGTGGTAAACCTGGGGCACACAATTGCTGGAGGATTATCTCTGCAGAGCCAGGCTTAACACACTACCTCTCTTATAACAGAGCTCACCTTTCCCAACTTGCTGTTGCAGGGAGGAGAGGGCTTTGGAAAGGGAGGTTGCCAAGTAGTGAGTGAACAGCAACTCTTTTTATCAGGTTGCAAGCTGTTTAGAAAGGCTGGTGGGTGCTGAAATGTCAGCCCAGCAGCTGTCTTGATCCAATCTGGAAAGAAGATGGAAACATAAAGTCCAGTTGGGAATACATTGAAGCTTTGAGGCATTTTGTAGTGCTGGGTGAGAAGCATGGGTTTGGACCTGAGGAAGGATCTTGCTCTAGTCTCTTGCTTTGTGGGGGTTTGTTGTATACAATGTGAGCAAGTAACATTTTTGAAGTGGCAAAACAAGAACAATCACAAGAAGTTCTCCTTCCTGCTGCGGCAGTTGGAGCAGAAGAATTATCTTCAGCCCAGGCTTTGGACCTGACATGTTAGCTGCTTGGATTCTCGATCTGAAAGGTGTGTGTTTCATGCAGGAGGATGTGGCTCAAATAGATGTAGCTCTTTCTAAGCTTGACTTGCCTGAAAGGCTGTAGCTTCTCTTGGCTGCACTTCAGGGTGTTGGCTGCTGGTAGCTTCTCGTAAACATCCAAATACCAATTACAGTCCCAAACGTTGTTCATCACCCACCAGCAAGTCTTGGCTAATTTGAAGCCATAACATTTTCTATGTGGAAGTTTTTTTGTTTGCCTGTAGATAGCTGTTGTTTGAGCCTGGTTGAGATCTCCATGTGTTTGTACTTTCCTTGTTGTCCCTTTTGCCCAGCCCAACACAGAGGTTGCATGGGGCTTGCAGTCCTCACTCTGTCAGTAGCACATTGTCCCTGTATCAGCAGGAGCCTGCAGGCTTGTGGCACAGGCCGTGCAGTGCTCAGGAGAGCAGTGCTGAGCACTCACAGGGACATGGCAGTGCCATGCTATTTCTGCCTGGCAACAGGAGGAAGACCTGTCCTTCAGTGACAAATCAAAAGCTAAGCCATGTGACTCAGCAGCCCTGGGTACAAAAGGGAAATCCTGATGCTAGGTCAGAGCTGAGGACTCTGGAGCTGCAGTTGGTGCTCTTCTGCAAAATCCCACTGCTGTGGAACCAGCCCCACCCCTACCACTGTGATGGCTGAACAATGGGGAGAAGAAATGCTGCCTAACACCCCTGTGCCCTGGGCACTGCTCCCAACCATGTCTGTGAACAGCAATGTGGCAGGAGTTCCTTTGGAGGCTCAATGACAGCCAGTCCTTGTTAGACCCGGGCAAGGTTTGCTGTCAGCTGGTTGCCCGCTGCCATGACCTGTGTTTAGTCTTGTGTCTTGTAGTTTATTGCTCGGCTCCTCACCTTGAGTTCTGTGTACTGACTCCACCTAATCACAGTAGAAGATTTGCCCATCTTTTAGCCATGACTTCACCATGTTTTTCCAGCTCCAGATGCTGGTAAACCGCATCCTTCAATATGTCGGATAATCACACACCTGGAATTAGCTTTCACATTGAAGTAAAGTTGACTGACCTATTCTCTGTCATCCCATGGAGAAACTTCCCCAGTCATTTTGTACCATTATATAAATATATATATATAAATATAAATATATAAATACAATATGTGAAGACATCTTATTGGTTTTTATTTGAAACAATTTTTAGGCTTGTTTTTGGGTATCTGTGCTGCCTGTAATGTATTGACCTGTTTTATAGGTGCCTTTTTATTAAAAAGACAAATTTCAAGACCTGACCTGTGCCTGTCTTTTTCTATGTGATTTTCCACAGGACTGCAGCAGAGACAGAGAGTATGAGAGGTGCTGGAAGGATTGTGTGGGCATTGAGGGAGCCCCTTCTCTGCAGCACTCCCAGGCATACATTCATTCATGCGTTCCCTTACTTACACCCACCCATGCATGCTCCACTGCCTGTCACAGGCCTGTGATCACTGTGTGTGTGTAGCAGAATGCTCTGCTGGAGCCCCAGCTCTGTCTCTTGGGAGACATGGTTGCCCTGCAGGAAGTGCAGAGCAGTGTGTTGTTTGTGAGGGTCTTGGTGTTTCCATCTTTGGGGTTGCCTTCATCAGAGACCAGGGCTTCCTCTGGCTTGTCTGCTGGAGCCTTGTTTGCAGAGCACAGTCCAGGACTGGGGGTGCAGAGGGTGTGTTGTGGATGGTGGTGACATTGCCTTCCCACACACCATCTCCCAGGAGCCACCTTGGAGTTCCCCTTGGCTCAGTCCCCCTTCCCCGTGGCCTGGGTGGGCAGAGTGCATCTGGCCTCACTTGGTAGCCATGGGATAGGGGCTGAGCAGAGCTCCATAGGGAAGGCTCAAGGTCTGCCCGAGGGCTGCAGGGGTGGCTTCGGCAGTGTGAGTACTTAGCAGGGAAGCCCACTAAAGGGGCAAGGTGATGTGACAGCCATGCAAACCTTGAGGACACAGCAAGGGTTTTGCTGAATGGAAAGCAGAGCTTCCTCTGCAGTGAAGGAAAGTTCCTCTTGCTTTCTTCTTGTTGCCATTCAGCAGGCTGGCTGCAGGCAGCTGTGGGAGGAACAATGGCAACTCTTTGGGGAAGGTCTGCCAGCTCTGAGCCAAGCCATTCCCAGGCTGAGTGAAATGCAGGTATAAGGGCAGCCTTCCAGTCAGGTTAGCAGCTGCTGTAAAACTGGGGCAGGAGGCGCAGTTAGTGGAAGAGGCTCCATAAAGCAGAGAGGTCTGGACTGACTCTGGACACAGCAGAGGCTTCTGTGGCACTGGTGAAAGGGAATCTGAGCAAGGTGCTCCTCTGAGCCATTTGAGCAGAGCTGGTCAGAAAGGTGCCAGCTGCTCACTTAGTGCTCTCTGATGCATCTCCCTTGAATAATGTGACACAGTTACAGACAAATGCTTACAAGCACTGTACATGAGAAGATGGTGTTTTATTCAACTGTTTATTACAGCTTACATCAAAATTTCCTAAAGATTTGTACATACCAGTGCTTAGTAAAGCTATAGTAACAATAGTAACAATATATGTGTAATCTGTTCACTCTCATTTGAGTGCAGATTTTCTTTTTACTTTGTGACCACTGTAAGAATTTTACACTTTGACTATTATTTTTTTCAGTAACATTTTCATGTAGAAACACAGTTGTCACCATAACCTGCTAGGTAGGTGTTTACAGTGCATCTGCAATGGGTTTTCTCACTGGTACAACCGTGGAGAACACAAGTGCAGGCTTAAGAGACTTGCCCTTCTCTGCTGCATGTACGTGCCTGAACAACCACAATCACCATTACTTGAAAGTTTCATCTTTGAAGATGCGGTGCTGCAGGAAATGGTGGACTGCCTTATACTAGGTGAGTTTTCTCCTCAAGTCACAATATGAGATCAAGCTATTGAGATCTCTGCCCGAGTCAGACTGAGGTAATGTGGCCCCTTTCCATAATGGCTAGTCTTTTTAGCAGGGCCCTCGAGTACTGTGAGTACCTGGGATGAGCTCCCTGCTAGTGGGATGAGCTTCAGAAGTGAAGTCAGCACAAAATTCCTGCTGCCACAGGAGAGCTAACTTTGTTTTGACATTGCTTAAAATGTGAGGTGATGGGTAGAGCAGATCTGAGGAGGGTTGTGCTCATGTGACATTGGTATGTATGGCTCTCCTACAGTTCAGGCCGCAGCACTCTTTAGGAACAGAAATGTCATGGAGCAGTGTTGTGGGCCTGCTGCCACGTTAAATGTGACAAGACCTCCTAGGCAGCAGCAGGCTGTCTTGAGTCTCTGCTGGGGCTTCCCCACACACCAGCTTGCAGTGCAAGAATTAATGATGGGGAAAGATGCTGCTCTTATTTTGAACCAAATTATCATCAAGCTGCCCTGATCTGAGCAGTTTCTGCATACTTGCAGTTCAGGGCAAGATCACCACCGAGGTTTGTCCTCTGTTCACCTGGATGCACTTAATCTCTGAAAACCCCGTAGGTGCAGGTGGAGGAAAACTATCAGAAAGCATAGTGCCAAGCAAAATGCCACATTTCCTCTAGTCTTGCTAAAAGCAAAGAGAAATTATCCCTTACTCTGGGGCAGTGGGTCTCCTTGCTCTCAGAACTCATAAATGGCCATACAACTAGCTGCCAAAAAAAAAAAAAAGTTATACCATCAGCCTTACAAAGCTGTGTAGTTTCTCTCCCCTGTGTGCAGTCACAAGAAGAAGCCATGTCCTCAGATGGTGTTCCTTAAAGGAAAACTTTTGCATAGTCAGGCATTCAGTTCAGCAGCCACGCACAGGAAGTCATAACAGCAGTAAAACAGATCAAATGAGTAGGGAAGGATGCAACGGGTATGAGGAAAGGAGTCTGTGACGACAGTCAAATTTTTCCATCTGCAGGAGGACTTCCTGGCATAAGCTGTGTTGGGATGATGAATGTGTTGTGGCTGGCTGAGGGGATGTCACGCAGTAGGAGGACAATGTTGCAGTCAAAGAGTGTCCAGCACTGTATGCCTGTGCCATTGGATTGAACTTCGCCGCCCCCATCAGTCCTACCTGCATCTCTCCAGTTGCTATGGCCACTGAGTCCCACGGCTTCCTTTGAGCATGTCTGTACCAACCTGAGCTAGTGAAATGGAGACCCGCTTACTGACAGGACTCATTTACTTGCTGCACTTTTTTCCTTAACCCTGGCACCCCAGTCCTGTGCCTGGCTTTGTGCACAAGATGCCTGCAGTCAAGTTTTTCAAGGGAGAGGTGGGAGTGTCAGGTTCAACCCACTCGAGTTCATCCAGCCCAACAAGAGTGACCATCAGACATCGAGCATTCACCAGCAACTGCCAGGTGAGTCTCTACAAGTATGAGAACCAGAAAGAGCCAAGCAAGGAGTCTGATGGGATTTGGGTGTTTGGTGGCTATTGGACCTGCTTCCTGAGGAGTGAACAAAGTTGTGGGGATGCTTGTGAAACTTGTAACTGAGACCAAAGCAAGTGTGCCACTGGGAAGGAAAGATCCAGACCAGTTCTGCCCTGCAGGCAGCCTTTCCCAGCTAGAAAGTGGAGATGGAGGTGGTGTTGTCAGACTCTATCCCACTGCCCTTCCTTGTCACCTCCAGGATCTCCTGCAGGGTCTCCTGGCTTATGCAGCCAAGCTCCTGCAGGATCCGGAAGAAGTCGTTACGGAACTTGACCCCGATAAAGGCGTAGAGGATGGGGTTGAGGCAGCAGTGTATGAAGCCGATGGCCTCTGTCACCATGATGGCTGTGTCCAGCCGGTCTTCCAGGAGGCAGTTCTTGGTGAAGGCTTCTAGCTTGGTAAGTGTGTTCAGGAAGATGACGATGTGGTATGGGCTCCAGCAGAGGAGGAAGATGCCTGTGACCAGGATGGCCACACGGACAGCTTTTTGTCTCTGCAGGCGCTGAGACTGACACAGTGCTCGGATGATGGCCATGTAGCAGTAACACATGACCAGCAGAGGCACAAAGAAGCCCACGGTGTGGTAGAGGAAGCGTGTTGCCAGCCACGCATTGTTTCCATCAATCCCAACCTCTGGAAAATAGCAAATGCTGTGATTACTGTCGTCTGTCCACACTTCCATGAAGATGAGATCAGGTAAAGTCAGAAGCAATGAGCAGAGCCAGACAGCTGTGCAGGTGAGGTGGATGGAGCGAGCTCTGCGTTTGCGGTAGGTGTGGATTGCATAGACAATGGCCAGGTAGCGGTCCACTGCAATGCACCCCAGCAGCATGCTACTGCAGTAGAAATTGATCTTGTGGACAGCACTGAGAATCTTGCAGAGGAACTCCCCAAATATCCACCCAGCCAAGCTCTCCACCACACTGAACGGGAAGGTGAATAACAGTGCCACGTTGGCCAGGGTGAGGTGGAAAAGGAAGTTTTCTGTGGTGGTGCGAGACCTCTTGAACCTCTCTAAAATGACCAGGACCAGGGCATTGCCCAGAGTCCCCAACACAAACATCAGCAGATAGATGAGGGGCATGAAGACCTTTCTGAAGGGGTCTCCCTGGTTGCCAACCACAGATGAGGCTGGGTTGAAGCAAAAATAGCCCTCCAAAGAAGGGGTGGTGTTCTCAGCTTCATAGTAACCGCTCAGCTCCACCTGGCTCTGGGGAACAGAGAGAGTCTTGTTAGTGGAGGGGAGTTTCTGAACACAAGAACCCAATCCCTCAGCTGCACCTGGCAGACCTAGAGCAGAGCACCCCCATGTCCTGCAGCCCACTTGCACCAGGAGGAGATGCTGTCTGCAGTGTGATGACGTTGGAGGCCCCTCCACTGCCAGGAGGTGCAGAAGGAGGTGGAGAGGTTTTTCTCCATCTGGGACAGTGAGGGCTGCTCGGTATGTAATAATCTTTAACTGGAGTATTTGGGGATGTTTTGGTGTCCAATCAGATGATCAGTTTCATCTTCTGGTTCTTGCCAAGTTACCTGCTGGTGAATTCTATGTGCTTTCTCACATAGAATGGACCTTTCCTCTACCAGCTTTCCCGTTTTTTCCCACCCATTTCTGACATGGACCACTCCTGTCCTGCCCGCTGCCTGCTGTCATGTATAAAGGTGGTAAGATTCACCACACAGCATACCTGTACCTCAAATTCTGTGCAGTGAACCTGTCTCCTTCTCCTCCTCAGAGGCCTGAGAGCTGCCTATGACAGAGCAGGGTGAGGTGGGGTCAGCAGGAGCTGTCCTTTGAGATCGCTTTCCACACACTCAGAGGAAGGTGTGGGGCAGCTGTTCAACACAATGGGAGGAAAGCCTCTGAGGCACTATGGTGTCATAGCTACAGGAATAAGATGGAGAGAGAAATCTGTTCTGTTGATAAACCTTTCAGTTCTGAATTACTTGCCAGTAAGGCAAATGCAATAGAGCTGCTGCAGATGTGATTCGCCCTTGGCTTGCTGTATCTTCTTGACCCGCCTGTATTTGGGCTGAAGCTGTGGGCAAGTCTTGAGTGCTGGGAAGCTGGAATTCTGCTCAGGATGAGCTCCCTGGATGGTGCTCATGTTTCAGCTGCCCTTGCACAAAAAGAGAGCAGTGGAGGAGGCTTCTGGCAAACTGAATATTTAGCGACAATTGGGAAGAACTCAGCAGCAGTCACCCTGCACTCTCCCACCCACACCCTCTCTGGAGACCTGTGCTGAGACTTCAATGTTGACCACAGCGGAAGTCTCTGCTAATATTTTCATACCTTTCACTGCCAGCTGCAGCTGTTTGCACCTGCTGCTCCTTCCCTTGTCAGCCAAAGTTCCAGTCTAAAAATACCAGCCATGCTTTACACAGTTTTAGACCTGATTTTGGGGGTTTTTGCTCACCCACTGGGCTATTAAGCAAAATTACTGTGACCAGCCTGGAGTCTTGCATTGTGCCTAGCTAGGGAAGGGTGATTTATGTTTCTTCTTTCTCAGGCAGCTTTCCCTGGGTAATGCACTAGGTGCCTCTGCACATGACTGTGGGGGGTAAAGAGGTCACTTGGCAGCAGCAAGACTTACCTAACACTCCTCTACTGCTGAAACCATCTGCATGGTTCCAAGAGGAGCCTGGCCATGCTAACGGGACATAAGCCAACGGAGCATTACCAAACTCATACAGCAGAAAACTGGTGCAGGCAGTCCCCAAGCAGTGGACAGTAGGAGGTTGAATAAGTCATTTGGAAAAGTGTGGAATAACCCTGCCTAGCTCTTGTTTATGTAACTGTAGGGCTGCAACCCTTTGGTGAGAAGCATTTTGTATTACCAAAGAACTTTTATTTTTCTGGTTTAGGGTATGATTTTGGAGATCAGAGATTGCTGCTAAAGACAAAAGCATTAAGAAATCCCTCCCGGTTATTTTCCCCCCCAGCTTGAAAGTATTTCCTGCCTACTCTGTACCCAGACCTTTCAAGAGGAGTTACCAATACACAGAAATCTGTGATGTGTTGGCCAAGGCCAGATCCTTGAATCTCTCTGAGAAAAAGCAAAACAATCTAAAAACCTTTGCTATTTGATGTAGTGACCAAACCAGGCTGCTCAGGCTGTGCAGGTGACTCTGCAGAGTCACAAAAACCCTGAACAGATTATATGTTGGAATGGGAAATTTCACTGGGAAGAGGTTGGACGATTCCAGTTTTGAAGGGAAAAACGAAATTATGGAAAATGGCTGGGTTTGCTGGCTGGAGTGTCAGTCCTCCCTTGGAGCCATGCCAGCAGCATCGATGGCAGTGGATGGGCAGCTTGGGCAATGTTCAGTGGCTTTGGCTGCTGGCGAGTTTCCAGCATCACCTTGTATTTGGAGCCGGAAGTGCAGAGGCTGAGTGCCACTATCCGACACTATCTGATTGCTGATGGGGAGCAGGTAGGGAGGGCTCTTTTTGTAAACCACTTACTGTGGGTAGAGGAAGTGTGTGCAGAGCTGTGTCTGATTTGTCCTTGCCTGCATCGCTGAGCAGATCAGCATATGTGGGTAGAAGAGGACAGAGATGAGTTGGAGACAAAAAATGAAAAAATCAGAGTCCGAGCTAAGACAGGAAGGGCAGGGACCAGAGCTGCAGGAGATGCACTGAATATGACAAGCTAAGGCTTCTGGGGGCTCTGCTGCAATTCTGGGACTGGAAGTGGGTTGCTGCCTGATCTGGGATGGGATAAGTCAACAGTGTGCATGAAGAGGGACCTTTGTACAGGTCTCCTGCATGACAATTGCAGCAAATTTAGAGGTGGGAAAAGAAGTGGTGTCTCTCTAATATAGCAGTCAAGTGCATGCCTGGGAAAGCCGTTCCACTGTGCTTTGTGTTCAGGGATCCCTTTACCCCTATAACCTGCATCACAGTGTTATTCTGGTCTCCTTGTGTCAGCTGTTTTTCTCCAGTTCTGCACAACTATCAGCAGTCAAAATATTTGGCTGCAGAAGTGAAGCAGCTCGTGCACTGTTACTGATTTTCCATGTGAATCATTCCTTTCTAGTCAATGCCAGGGCTGGGAGCAGCACATTTCATTCTCAAAACCTTAGAACTGTAATTGCCCACATCAGTACAATCTACTGATGGAGCTTCTGCTCATGACTTCTCCAGGGGCTGAACTAGGGAAATCCAGGAATAAGACCAAGGCCTGTGGAAATACCATGTTACTGCAGTGTAGGTGCCTTTACGCTCTTGAGTCACGTTGATCCCATTGCAATGAAAACTGGCCTGAGGAACCTCAGGGAACCTGGTGTAGATCTCAGTGGTTCTTCTGCAACTATGTTTTTGGTTGTCTAGTCTGCAGAGGAGGAAGGTTAGCAGGCAAAGCATTTTTGCTATGGACAAACAGGGTTATCATTTTGGGCATGGTACTTTTCTGCAAGGTTAGAGTCAAATGGTCTCATATGGTATCAAAATTTAGGTGACGCCCTCACTGTATTCACTGTGTGAATACTGTGTGTACTGCGTGTATACTGTGTGATAAAAAATGCCCTTTTGGTGCAAACATTCTCATCATTTTTCCTTCCACAATTGCTCAGTTGATCAAAAAATCCCCTGATCAAACAAGGCAGGGTTTGTGTTGCCACTTTGACAAGACACTTTGGAGGCCTTTTTTTTTTTCAAATCTCTGTGGGTAGGTTGCTGCTACAAGCACTGAGGATAAGTAAAGCAACATATGGCACCACCAAAGCAAATACAGTGATGCTCATGTGATATCTGTGGCCGCCCTGGAACAGGGAGGGAACCAAATCTGGGAAGCTGCCAGGAAACAGAGGTGGGAAACAACATATGCCAAACTCTCAACTGCAGAAATCTGAGAAAAGGTCTAACACTCTTTCTACTGTGGCACCTGACTGTGGGCGTTTAGTCCAAAAATCAGCTGGGTTCCCCCTTGAAACCCTCTCCCTTCCCCTCACATGGGGTCTCCTTTACGATGTAAAATAATTCACAGCAGAGATAAAATCACTAAGTTAAGGATTATGGAAAGTTTTGTAAGCAAAGAAAAGGAGGTGATAAAAGTTTGAGTTTGGTTTTAACCTCTCAATTTTAGTGCTGCCACTGAACTTCAACAGAGGCCAGGGAAAGAAGTGTCTTCTCCAAAAAACTTTTAAAGGAATGACCACCATTTGCAAAGGATTTTTATACTGGATGAATCAGAAAAGAAGTAAGGAGGACAGAGCTTGCTCCTCCATCTCCTTGCTCTTCTGGTGTGTAGGAAAAGAGGAGGAAGAAAGTTTGGTAACAATTGAATCCAACATTTCTCTTTGGAATAACTAATGCTGAGGTCTGCTGCAGGGAGCCACTGTAGTTAAAACTTCTGAGATGCGATATTTGAAAACCAGGGTAATGATAATGCTACTGCGTCCTTCCCGTTGGATAGCACAACATCCTCTAAAAGGTGCAGCTGCTCTTTTTCACTTGTAAAGGCTGGGAAGAGAACTATGACATAGAATACCTAGTGTTATCACTCCCTGTTAGAAGAAGTTCTTGCAATTTATCTTCCTCTCTTTAAAATTCTCCTCTTGTAAATATACTGCATACTCCCCTTCCAGCAGCATGTATGTGGAGCCTGTACGTATGTGGAGCCATATGTATGGCAGCTTGTACGTGGAGCAAGCAAGCAGGGTCGTTATACCAAGGGTTTTCACACACACACACACACAGAAGGCTGGGTTTGCTTGGGTATTCCAGTTGTGAAAGGAGACCAGATAAGGTGTACAGAGCTTTGCACACTGTGTACACAGTCATTTATACCACTAAAGGCTGGTGCAAAAGGTGCCTGGCTCAGAGTAAGTGTTTATGCCTATATTGTGCTAGTGGCTGTGCAGACAGCAGGGCAGCAAGGAGCAGAGGCTGGGAGAAGCTGGCAGCACAGGATGGGACTGCTGGAGCCCTGCTCTCCAGGTAAGTCACCTGGCCCTTTGCAGACACTCTGGTCTGTGTCCTCATGCAAGGACAGCACTCGGGCTTAGTGCTTGCCAGTACAGGTTCGGGCAGCTTTCCCCAATGGAACACCCTGCATCCCTGGATTACAGTGGCTGTAGCCACACTACTCTGACACTCTGCAAGCAACAGCCTTGTGCTTGTGGTCAAGTCTGGACTTAAGGGATGCAAGGACTGATTATGCTGGCATAAGAAATGGCTTAAGCTCTGCCTCTGCCAACAGGAGGGCTAGAAGACAGATGACCAGAAACCTGGCCTTTCAGCCCACCCCACCACTACCTCCCACCCCTGTTATCAAGCAAAGCCAGGCCCAGCTTACCAAGTCATAGGTCTCTGATGAGTAGCTGACAGGCCCCATGATTTGAGGGGCAGGATCTGTCTCTCTTCCAGAAATCTCTAAAAAAGTTCTTTTCTGGGGTGAAGTCAATCATTTAAGTGGGAAGGGAGGGACAAAAAACAGAGTATTTGCAAGGCAAATGAGCTCCAGGCATAGAGTGAACTGATGATATAAAGACTAGCATCTAGATTTTCATCTTTTTATTAGTGCTGTAAGTTGATTTTTAAGGCAAAGTTTGAAGAGTACATATTCCTTTGGTCCATATCACAGAAGATCCAGATCATCCTTATGTCTTCCCTGGAAAACTTCAGGGTTCTTGCCCACAGCTGTCCTTTTTCCAGGTGGTCCGAAAGGCTTTGAAAAGTTCTGTGCCATGGACCATCCTTACCAGAAACCTGGATCCAGGCACTTCTCTGGAGCTGTGCAGGACTTTGAAGTATGGGTATGGTCTGTATGATCACTGCCCTCTGCTTGGGGTCCTCCTGGCTGCTTTAACCCCAGTGACTTGTGGTTGTCTTCTGTGCCATCTCCTGCTGCTTCACCCTTCGTCTGGGCTTGGGGGAGTGTGAGGTGGCTTGCACAGGAAAGCAAAGCCTTGGCAGCTGCTCTGCAAGTCTAGAGCAGGACTAGCAGGGGCTGGGCAGTTTGTCTTCACAAGAGCAACAAAGAATCAAGATAGGAAATGAAGAATTTCTCTGCTCGGAGAAATGGGCGTTTTGTTCAGTGATGTCACAGCAGCAGGCTCACAGTGAGAATGCCCCAGTCTGGGTCAGCAGAGTAGGATGGCATTGCAGCTGGCATTTTGGCAGAAAGCTTTTCCTGTGCAAGGAGCTGAGGTGGTTTGACAAACACAGTTCTTGTCCTCCTCTTGTCTAGATAGAGCTGCACCAAGGCCTCTCTACCAGCAAGGACTCTGGTGGGACTTCGGGCTGCTGAAGAAGGGGGTAATGTTATTCTCGTGAGCACTACTGGATTACAACCACTCCTCCTGCTTCTTAGATACCGACTTGTCGGGCACCTTCTGCCCCGAGGATGTTGCTGTCCTCCCCTGCCGTGAGGACCTTTGTGTGCACCTGCGTGTGCTCATCAGCCTCTGGGCAATCTTCCTCCTGAAAGCAAGAGGATGGAGGGCAACAAAACCGAAGGGAAGCCGTAGGAAGCCCGCACTGTGCCTCATTGACAGGGAGAGCACAGACTGAGGAAGCCCTGTCCTGAAGCCCTGTGCTGCCAGGGCTCAGGGGTAAGGCGAGGAGTGGGGTACCACTGGGCCCCGGAGACTGACAGGACAGGAAGGATGTTCTTAATCAGCCAGAACTGCAGGGTGGAGCTTGGGCATTTTGCAGCTGAGGGTGGGAAAAAACCCACATAGACAGCTGTAGATGTGAGAAACTAGACAAAACCAGGAACGTCCTTGTTCCTTTTGCACGTATTTTGGAAAAACATTTGAGGAAAAATTTATCTGCAAAGCAATAACTATTAAGATTACATTCCCATTGTGTCTCGGTTCGTCAAGATACATGTCTAAGTAAGAGCTGCCTAAAAAGAAATGCCAGTTCCCAGCCTGTCACGATCGGTGGTTACGACTCCTACAGGCTGTGGCTCATTCCCTTCTTGTTAAGTTTTCGTTGGCTGTGTTTTAATGGTTACATAGCGAAGGGCCGTTACGTTTCCAGGCGCTTTCTTGCGAAACAGACTTAAAAGGGAAGATTGGGGGGGGGGGGGGGTCTGAGGAAGCGGGACGAGAAGCCAGTCCTACGAGCGCCTTCACATGGGCACCGCACGCTAGGTGGGACGTGACGCGTGGCGCACGCCGCACGTAGTACGTACGTACGTACGTACGTACGGTACGTACGTGCATGGTGCGTGTAGACCGGGGCGGTGCCGCCCGCCGGGAGGGGGAGGGCGCACGGGAGGAAGGAGGAAGCCGCCATCTTGGAGCGTCGAGTCGCCATAACAAGGCACCGGGGGAGCGAGAGGATTTTGTACCTGGGCGAGGGGGAGCGCGGCTGGTGGCGGTGAGGACAGGCCAGGCCGGGCACGGCTCCATGGGAGCAGGGCGAGGGGGCCGCTACGGGCAGGCCGCGCCTCGCGGCCTGCGGCGAGAGCGCGGGCCTGAGCGGGGCCTGGCGGCGCCGCAGGCGGGGCGGGGACGGCCGGGCCGGGCCTGGGCGCACCGGGATCGGCGGGACCGGGAGACCCCGGGGGGCGAGGCCGGGGCCGGGCAGCGCTCGCTCCCTGCCGGCCCGGGCGGCAAGCGGCGGCCGCTCCATTGTTCGTGGGCGGGAGGTGTTGGTGTGGCGCAGCTGCGATCGGCGGGTGGCGCCGGGCCCACCGCTCGGCCCCGGGGCTCCGCAGTGCGGCCCGGGCTCACGGGGCGCATTGAGCACCTCTAGGGCTCCCTAGAGCGACCGACGGGAAGAGAAAGGTCTAGAGCAGCTGCCCCCCCCCGCGCCCGGAGAACAGAGATAGGCGACGGAGGCCCTTTTTTTTTCAGTCCGTTGTTTTGCGTAATGGTGGCCTCTCTTTTATCGGAATAGGAGATTTGTTGCGATCCGTGAGGCTTTGCGTTATTTTTATCCTGATTTTTAATCTTCTAAAGGATTGTTACGAGCGTGAGGGCATAAGGGACTGAGAGGTTTAATTTCCTACACTGTTGGATACCTTAGCGTTGGTAGTCGGGTCTCATTGGCACAGAGCCAGTCGGCGTCTCTGGCTACCTTCGTAACTTATCTGGTTTTTACGAAGTTAATTGCCAAGAGAAATATCTCTTCGAAGATACCTTGAAAATTAACTGCCAGAAGATCCTAGGATTGCAAACTTTAAAATCTTGCTGGAAGCCAGAATTGACACACTTGAAAGCAGCTGGGAACTCTGAATTCCTTTTTCACTCTCTTGAAATGCTCTTCAATGTGCCTTTTTATTCACTGGGAAAACACGTGTTTTGTTGTGAATGCCGAGGTTAGGAAGCAGTAGTCTTCTGGTTTTTCCTTTGTGTTTTCCCAAGATGCAGATGCTCAAGGCAAGCCTATTTTTTGTTCCAAAAGATTTTGGACTAGGGACGTTTTGTCTCTTTGGTACCATCGTAAGGAGTCTTTAGCTCTGGTCCATGCTTGCTTAATGTAAGGGGCAGATTTTGTATTGTCTTTCCACAGTTTTTCAACCTTTCTGTTACATACAGAGTCATTAAGTAGTGTGTATGAAGTGTTATCTTCCGAGCACCACATAAGTTGTCGTTGACAGCAGGAAGGTAAGATCACAGGCAGAAGCTGGATAACCAGCAGCGTTACTGCCTTAGTTCAAGCTCAATCACTTGGACGCAAAGAGGCAGCTGCTCTCCGTTCAGCGTAATGGTGTTGTTCCATCACTGTTCTGCATAGCCTTAAATCAACATCCGGTGTAAACCTGGGGGTAAGCTGGTTGAGCTAGCGTTTTGCGTTGGAAGAGTGTAAGCTGTTGGTTAGGGTTTATATAATTTATATTTCCCATTCAAACCGAAGCGGGCAATGAGAGTAATGTAAGGGTTTTGTCAGTTCTATCTGGAATATCCACTTGATATCGTAGTCTTGCTTCCTCTCACAAACTTATGTATAACATTATTGTCCACATTTTAGGGCACGTTGGCTGCATCGTGGAAATGGGAGAATTTGTGGGGGAATTGAAGAGCCATCAAAGCAGTTGATACACTAAATGGTTACTTTATGAGAGGGGGGCCAGGTAGTGGAAGGTTGCTGAAAGTACATCTGTTTGGGAGGTTTTCTTTGGTGTCTGAAGATGTTAGGCAACACTTTCTAGAAGGGCAAAAAAAGTTTGATGCATGTCTTTATAATTATCCCTGAGGAAACAAAAAAGCAAGTGCTGTTATTGCACACTGCCTGAGAAGAAATTTTTCTTAGAATACAAAAGTAAATTGATGTGATGTACGTAGACAAAAATCCACAAACTAATTGTTATTGTCTGCTTCTCTTTCAGATTGAAGCAAGTGAATTCTGATAATAACTCAACTTCACTAGAGGGCTTTTTTTTAAAAAAAGTTGTTCCACAGTGCATCAGAGCAAGTTACTGCTTTACTTTTGAGTGACTTACCGGTGCTTGCCTGCATTGCAATAAAGGACTCATATATTGAGCAAGACTTATTTATCTCTTCATTTTGGAGAGTCTAATAAACTGTTATTACAGTTTCTGTACTGACTTTGAAAGTTTTGAAGTCTAAAAAGACATCTTTAAAGATAAAAGCATGAGCACGGCCAGAACAGAGAACCCTGTTATAATGGGTCTATCCAGTCAGAATGGGCAGTTGAGAGGCCCTGTGAAACCCAGCGGGGGCCCAGGAGGTGGAGGCACACAAACTCAGCAACAGATGAACCAGCTGAAAAATGCCAACACAATCAATAATGGCACTCAACAGCAAGCACAGAGTATGACCACCGCTATTAAGTAAGTGTTTGTATCAGCTGCCCCAAAAGGAATGTTTAAAAGTCGTGTATGGGAAGGCATTCTTGGATTCCCACTTGGAAAATGTTGTCTTCTGTTGTTTTCTGACATGGGTGGTTAGAAGTGTACATTATGGGAAAAAGCTGTATTTCCATGTGCAAGCTTCTCTCCAGCAGTTATTGTTGCGAAAATCCAATTTGATGCAGTGCTTTTCTGAGTGTGAGCCACTGTCAGAGGTGGCCCTGCTTTAGAATCCTGTCTTTTCTGCTTGTTGGAAGTGGTGCGAGAGGGAAGTATAGGAGTGGGGAGGAGCTGAACTGAGCATTTAAGACCGAGGAGGAAATGCCACCTGATCTGAGTCTAGTTGTGTATGCCTTTCAGTTTGTTGCAGTTCTTTCTCGTGGTGAGAAATGCTTTAAAGTCAGTTATCTTTTGTCATTGATCTGAAATAGTAGCACCTGGTCTCTTCATTGTAATGCTCTGTCTTTAATTCATCATGGCCTGATCTGAGAGGATACAGTCTCACTGTGATGTCCTGCTCCCATGCAGCTAGTTTTGGAAGTGTACTGGTTGGAATTTCTGGAAGGTGTAAAATACTTGGATGGTATGGTAATGACTTGCTTTTCTTTTTTTCTTCCATGGATCCTCCTCCCCCTGAACAGCACTGGCTTTTATTTTTTTAATTATTTGTGAAGGAAATGCCAGCTCTCCTCAGAGAAAGCGTGATAGAACACTCAGATTCTTAAAATCTGCCTAACGTGCCCCCTCCCGCCCTTTTTTTTAATGTATTACACGGTTACTCTAATGAATGTTGTGAATTAAACTCATCAAAATTCACGCATAACTTCCTGGAGCTGATGATGAGAAGGACTTGGTCTCCACTCTACAATGGCTTTCAAGAGAGGATGGGTATCTAAATCTCACTGAGGGCAAAGACGTTTGATCAACAGGTGGAGTGATTGCTTACTTAGTTTTTTCACCAGAAGTGTTT